TTGCTTTTCTTTTTTTAAGTTCTTAAGGTAGAAGTTGAGATCATTTATTTTACATCTTGTTCTCTTCTTAGAACAGGTGTTTAGTGTTATAAATTTTCCCCTAAGTATAGTTTAGTGGCATCCCACAAATGTTATGTTGTATTTTCATTTTTGTTCCATTCAAAATACTTATTAATTTCTATTTTCATTTTCTTTTTGATCCTTGAGTAACTGGGAAGTATTTTATTTAGTTTCCAAGTTTTTTGAATTTTTTTCAGTTCTAATGATTTTCCAGATATCTTGTTATTGATTTTTAATTAAATTCCATTGTGGTCAAAGAACATACTTCATATGCCTTGAATCCTTTTAAATGTATTGATACTTGTTTTATAGCCAGGATATTGACTATCCTAGTAAATGTTCTGGGTACACTTGAAAAAAATGTGTATTCTGCTGTTGTTGAGTGGAGTGTTTCATAAATGTCAATCAGATCGTGTTGGTTGATAATGTTAAGTTTACTGTCATTTTGCTGATTTTTTTGTCTACTTGTTGTAGCAATTATTGAGAGAGGGGTATTAAAATCTATTACAATTGTGGGTTTGTTGATTTCTCCCTTTCAGTTCAATCAGTTTTGTTTCATGTATTTTGAAGCTTTGTTATTAGATGCAAAAATGCTTAGGAATGTTATAGCCTTCTGATGAATTGATCCTTATATCGTTAGGAAATGACTTTCTTTATCCTTGGCAATATTCTTTGCTCTGAAATCTATTTTGTGTGATATTAATACAGCCACTGCAGCTTTATTTTACTAGTGCTAGTGTGATATATCTTTTTCCATTCTTTTACTTTTAAACTATTTGTGTCTCTATATTTAAAGTGCATGTTTTGTAGGTAGCATATAGTTGGGACTTGCTCTTTTAGCCAGTCTGACAGTCTCTGTCTTTTCATTGGGGTATTTAAACCATTTACATTTAAAGTGATTATTAATATGATTAGGTTAAGTCTACCATTTTGTTATTTGTTTTCTATTTGTCCTGGTTGTTCTCGTTTCTTCAGTACTTTAAAGATCTTGTTCCACTATTTTCTTGTCTACATTGTTTTAATAAATTTGCTGTCATTATTAAATTTGCTCCTCTATACAAATATGTCTCCTGTTTTCCCCTTCATGCAGCTGTTAAGATGTTCTCATTATGATTTCTTTTGAGAGATTTGATTATGATGTGCCTTGGTGTAACTTTCTTCAGATTTTCTATGCTTAGGGTTGTTTAGCTTCTTTGATTTGCAGATTTATAGACTGAATTTTAAAAATTTGGGGACATTTTGGCCATTATTCCTTAAAATATTGTTTTGTTCTCCCTTTTTCTCTCCTTTCAAGGGCCTCCAATGAAGTTATACCACATTTCACTCATGGTCTGTTATTTTTTTCTTTTTTAGCTTTTTTCTTTTTGTGTTTCTTTTTGGATAGTATCTGTTATTATGTCCTCAAGTTCACTGATCATTTCATCTGTAATGACTACTCTTCTGTTAATCCCATCCCATGTCTTTTTAATCTCAGCCATGTAACTTTTAATTTTTAAATCTCAGCCATGTATATTTTTTAGTCTCAGCCATGTCTCTGTATAACATGTTCAATCTTTTCTCTAGCATTTTGAACATACAAATACAGTCACAAGGATTTTTTCCTTTTCTGCTATTTCTAACATCCATGTCAATTCTATGACAGTTTTGATTTATTGGTTTTCTCCTTATTAAGGGTTGTATTTTCCAATTATTTGCATGCCTGGTAACTTTTTATTAGATGCCAGTAATTTTGAATTTTACCTTGTTTGGGAGCTGGAATATTTTTGTGTTCCTATAAATATTCTTGAGTTTTTTCCTGGGACACACTTAAGTTATTTGGAAATACTTTGAGCCTTTGGGGACTTGCTTTTAAAATTTGTTAGGTGGGAGCAGGGCAATATCTAGTGTAGGGCTAATTATTCATGGCTGAGGCAGGAATCTCCTGAGTACTCTATGCAATGCCCCATGAATTATGTGGCTTTTCAGTCTGGTTGTTGGAAACAGGAATTCTTCCTTACCCTGTGGGAGCTCTAAGTATTGTTCCTTCTAATCCTTTCAAATGGTCTTTTTCTGCAGTCTTGGAGCATTTATTAAAATGAACGCACTGATCACTCTTCTGCCAAATACTCAAAGGAGACCCTCTAAAAATCTCCAGAGCTCTCTCTCTGTGTAGCAGTCTCCTGTCTGGTATTCTGCTTGTGACCTCCAGCCACCTTGGTCTTCCTAGGCTCTCAGCTTTATTTTCTCAAATCAGAGAGGGTGCAGACTCTATGATACAGCCTGGAAATTCTCTAGAAATAATCTGGGGAAATTTTAAGTTTCACTGCATTTGTTCCCTGCCTCTCAGGGATCACTATTCTTCATTGACCTATATCCAACATCTTCAAAAACATTGTTTTATATATTTTCCCAAATTTTTAGTTGTTTCAGGTGGGATGATAAATCCATTTTTTGTTACTCCACCTTGACTGGAAACAGAAGCTAATTCTCAATTTGGTTGTTTTTAATCAAAGCTATTGTTTCGACTGGGTGCAGTGGCTCACGCCTGTAATCCTAGCAATTTGGGAGGCTAAGGAGGGAGGATCGCTTGAGCCCGGGAGTTCAAGACCAGCCTGAGCAAGAGTGAGACCTCATTGTTGCCCCCACCCCAAAAAAATGAAAAGAAAAATTAGGCGGGTGTGGTGGCGCAAGCCTGTAGTCCCAGCTACTTGGGAGGCCGAGGCAGGAGGATTGCTTGAGCCAGGAGTTTGAGTGAGCCATGATGGTGCCACTGCACTCTAGCCTAGGCAACACAGCAAGACCTTTTCTCAAAAAAAAAAAAAAAAAAAAAAAAAAAAAGCTGTTGTTTCTTTCCTACTACCACCTACCGTCTCTAGAGATCTGTTTAATATCTGCCAGCAGAAGGAAAAAAGGGTTTGTAGGCAAACAAGAAACAAGGTAGATACATTATTAAAATTTTCACTAGTTGTTCATGATCTCTCTCCCTGTATCCAAGACTTTATCTTGGCTTCAAGTTTAGTTCTAGATGCCTCAGGAGTGATCAGACTATATTAAGAAGGTTACCTTCCTATCCATTTACCATCTCTACCTCCAGGCAATTCAGCATTCCTCAAGTCTAGAGTCAGAATGATATTAATAGTAAACTCTGGACTCAGATGGCCTCACTAAGATAATAATAACCACATGAATAATTCTGGTTCAAAATAATTTATGAGGTTGCAAATCTATTCATATACCCAAAGGACTCTAATTCAGACTACACCCCATTTATTCTTCCCTTGGATGATTTAGAACCTAGTGGCAATGATGTACAAATTCACCTCTCCATTACATTAATGATCTATCACCAAAACTTTTAGGTGTGAGGGCTCTTCTCTTATAGCACCGATGAAATTAATCGAGTTCCTTGAGTCTTTCCAAGTTTTTCCTTTAAAAATTTAAAGAGTCCTAACTGCTACACCCCCTCACCAGCCCACTCCTCCCACGACTATTAACACAGATGCCAACCTGTATAGAGAGTGTTTGGTTGATACAGGTTGGCAGAACTGAAATTGTAAAGATAATTTTAGCAAATTGCAGAGTAGCAGAAACCTAAAAGCAGATAAATACAATGGAGCTATCAAGGAGAACCCAATAACTAGATAAATCAGTGTTTAAATAATGGAAAGTAATTCTTTTTTTAAAAAAAAAGTGACATAGCCATGTGTCTCTTCAATCTCTTTGCAAATCAAGTCTGTGCAAAGGCTACTGACAGGATGATTGGGACATCACTTTCCACTCTCAGCCAATCAGAAATTTTAAGCAGAAATCTCAAGTTACTTTCCTACTAAAGATAAATGGGAAGCCTTGCAGAGAAGAGAAGAAGATAACTACCGAAGGCTGTGTGTGATAGCAGATTAACAGCCTGGGTCTGTGAATGTCCATGTATTGTGTAACGTATTTTTCTGTAGCTTTGGGTCTTACACAAAAACAAGGCAAATAAAGTGCCCTGATGTGGACAAGGGGGTTTTTTTTTTTCTTTAAGACAAGGAAATTTATTCTGCTTATGTGCATAAAATAAAAATTTAAGATGAATGAATAAACCGTTCGCTTGAACAGTAAAAGATTTTTAGAAAGCAATTGTAAATATTCAATTATAAATATGTATGATAACAAAGGGATAGCTGAGCTATTCCAGGGTTTTACCTGTTTAAAAACAAAAGTCAAATTAGTGCTAGTCTCCCTGGGCAGAAAAAGCAATTCTGAAAAACAAAAGTGTAGTCTGTCAAAAAATAAAAACATCTCACAGAGAATTTAGTTAACAGTAAGATGAGGATGACATAAAGAAATTCCAGGGATGTCAAATAAGAGTAAACTGTTACATTCACAATTTAGTAAGAACCATGATGATAACACAAAAAAAAGAAGAGCAGAAATTGTTATATAAACTGTTCAAAAGTGAACTTCTATAAAACAGGCATTCTCATATAATGCAGTGGGAGTATGAAGTGATGCCTCTGTTTTGAAGGGAATTTGGTGTCAAGAGATTTCATAGACGCTTACACCCTTTATTGTCATAATTCCTCTTCTGGGAGAGGAAACCCAGAATGACAGCCTGACATTTGGAGCCACTTTTCTCCTCAAAACAGCTGCCAATTTGAAAGCATCAGCTATGAGGCCTATGAGTTAATCAGAGATTTGGCAGGATAATAGGATGGGGTGACTAAAAATGGGCATCCCAGGTCTATCACAAAGAAGGGACACTGATGAGTACCCCAGGCTTTCAGCTGGACCTTCAAAAGTACACCCAAGAGTAAGGCTGTATTCAAAACAGAACAGCCTAGCGTCAAATTATTTCACACCCTGATTTAATTAAAGTGATTTGTTCTCAACATAGATGGCTGTCAGTAGCACAAGTACATTCTCTCTGGAGTGAGAAAATATTACACTGAGCTTTAAATTATCTCTGTAATCCTCCAAAGCATATTTATTATTCCGTTCTTAGAGTGAGCCAAAGACACTCCTATCTGAAGGCACCTTATAATCTTTGTGTCTTGTTTTCCAGTTCTCTTGGAGACATTAAAATAGCTGACGTGAATATCAAGGGTTTGTTTGTGAAGCTCGTAAACTCTTCCCTTGACAAAGAACTCGCCATTGGAGATCATATTCTCCAGCAAAATGTGAATGGACAGAGAGTTTCTTTGTACCGATTCCTTCCAAACATCGTAATGCAGGCCAACTCCTCAGTAACAGTGAGTATAAGATTTGAATAACAGAAACTAGAATCGTGGAAGAAAAATCCATTTACACCATCAGCCTGTGGCTCAGCACTGGTCTTACCATCTCTCAAACTGTACATAAGATGTGTCTTTTGTTGTTGGTTGTTAATTGTGCCACTTTGCCCACCAATTGGATATAAATTAATATCCATAGTTAAATTTCCACAGCTTTCTTCAGTTTGGTGTGCAATCTCTTTTTTAAATCATTTGACTATTAAAATGAAATTCCTAAGTTCCTAAAACTAAGCAAACATAATCTTTAAAAGATAAACAAAGATATTTGCTTAGAGAACAGATGATTGATGCTAGCGGGCTCCCGCTCTTTCTCGTGCTTTCCTATAAACCTGTACAGGAGCTGTTTGGTGTTACACGGGTTGGCATTATATAGTATACAGTCGTGATATTGTAAAATCTCATCTGCTCAGAAAGATTATGTTGCAATAGCCCTGTGACGTTTACAAAACTGTGTTGAACTCCAATGGCATTTGTCATGAACAAACTGTTTTCTTTCAGGTGTGGGCAGCAGCCTCTGAAGCAAAGCACCAGCCACCATCAAATTTTCTATGGAAGGAACAAAACAAGTTTATAACAAGTCCAGATTGTACAACAATCCTGTGCAAACCTAACGGTCAAGTTAGTGTCTGGTTCTTAACAATAGTTTTCAATGAAATGGAGAGCCCGCATCCTCTTAGCTCACTCGATTATTTTCCATCCCTAAAAGCCTGGATGGAATCATCACTAAATGCTGTACCACAGCAGGTGCAAATCAAAAACACCCTCTTCCCAGTGTCAAAGTGCCCAAGAGCTACTCACAATTTGGCAAAAATAATTTTTGATATCCCATATTTCTAAGAGGCTACTTCAAATTTCAGAATCAAGGGTGGATTTTATTTGTGATCTTTTGCCTGAAGAGTGGGAGAAGAAAGGTATTACATAACAGACCTTTTCTATTCATTTATTCATTTCTCAAATATTTATTGAGATTCTTCTCTATTCTTTCAGCTGTACTACGTACTGGGAATATAACAGATTAAGATATAGTATCTGCTCTCAAGGAACTATTATTTTAATGGAAGAGCTTACAGGTCTTAATTTTAAATGACTATACCTTATTGACTATAAAATTAAGTGTATTAGTAATAGCTTTGTGTAACTCATTCACAATATTTGACAATTTTACGTATTTGCTCTACCTTTTCTTCAGTATAATATTAGCATAAATAGATGCCCATGGACATACCAGTAAGGTTTAAAGGGATCTCTTTTTATAACAAAAAAAGTTATTCCTTTTTAAAAACTGTTCTTTAGATCTTTATAAAATACCTGTCTTCTACCCTTCATCTAGTTTACCATGTCATATAACTACTAACCCACAAAATATGTTGATCGGAATCTATGTCTGAGTTTCTTTCTTGCTACATCATACCTGATGCTTAGATTGACTTTCCCTTTAGAATTCTGTGAGAACAGTTGTCGTTAGATGGAGAGAACACTCAGATATAACTAAGCAGCCTTCACTCACTCAGCTTCAGAGTCCTTTGTGGACTCAGACTGAATTTTATAATACTTCTGATAATTTTCACTGATGGAGAAAATACAGCTATGCAATCTAAGTTATTTACTCATAAGAAAAACATTAGCAAAATACACATTAGGATTAAGGAAGTCTCAGCTCAGAACTTTCATCATAGTTATCTACTCTGTAAATGGGTTTGTGTTTTGGACTCTGTATGTATGCTACTCCAGGCACAGAGTGTTGGACCAGACAGACCAGGTCTCTGAGCTCCTGGAATGTACATTTTATCAAATTATCATTCCCTGCACCTGAATTAGGCTTTGTATTTAGACTATTCCTTTTACTCAGTGGTTTGAACTACTTTGCGTATACAGGATCAGACCATTTATGCGGGGTGATGTAAGTGCGAATAATTGTGTTTGCTAATGAAAGACCAAACTTGACTGATTGATTCATATGGAAAATATTTACATATATTTAGTATCTGTCAGGCATGGTACTAGGTGCTGGAAGAAAGAACGTAAGTATTGCATAGTTCCTGTCTTTAGAAAACTCAGAGTCTCCTAGTAGAAATTGATATGTAATAACAAATAATTGCAATATAGTGAAACAATAATAGAAATATGTTCACAGAGCATGGCAGCCCAGGTCAGAAATATCAACTCTGTAAAGGAGAGTGTTAGGAAAAGCATTGAGAGGAAAAAATACTTGTTCTGAGTCTGTAGGTGAGAAGGAGTTTACCCAGATGACCTGAACCATTGTGATCTTGCCCCTTTCCACCTCCTTAACTCACCTCTCCCTGTTGTTCTCTGTGCTCTCTGATCTAACCACACTGACCTTCTTTTACTACTTTTGCTTTCCAGTACTTGACTGCTCCTTCAAGCCACAGGGCGTTTGCACATGCTCTTGTCTCTCCATACAATCTCTTTCCTCCTTTTTTACCTATTAAATCCTATCTGCTCTTCAGACCTCAGCTCAAGTTTTCTTTTACTAGTCACATCTCATTGGAGTAGAGATATCCCACCCTTGGTAAAGCATAAGCATTATTTAATTCAACTAGAAAATATTTCCATTAAATAGGCTGAAATGTGACTTTAAGTCAACTTGAAACTCTAATGTAAGCACAGGGTTCTTTTTTTAAAAAAAATTAATTTCCATTCTCACTTCCATGATACTGTACCTCA